AGGGCCAGGGCTCACAGCTGCCCTTCCTGCACAGACAGGCAGCCCCCGCTGGGTGCGAGGAGGGGCATCAGCGGAGGCCAGGAGGGCCCCTCGCCAGCCCCTCCACTCCGGCCCACCTCCTCCCTCTGGGAAGCTCTGGGTGCTGAGGAGAGTAGTGGGCAGGCTCCTCAGGGCCTCCCCACCCGGGGCTCCTGTGCTGCCTGGGGGAGGGGACACAGCATGGGGTCTGCTCCACACCTGGGGCTGGCTGGCTCACGTACATGGACGAGGTGAGTAAGCTTAGAAAGAAGCCAGACCCGTGGCCTGGTGGTTAAGGGTGCCACACCCCACATGGCCAACCAGAGTTCAAACCCAGGCCCACGTGGCTTAACACACACCAGACGCTGAGGTGTGCCCCAGCCCCAACAGGAAGGCAAAGCAGAGGGACTGGGGGACCACATCCGCTGGGGTGCCTTCTCCTCCTCTCTGCCTGTGCATGCCCTCTGGTGACCTGATAAGAAAGGATCCCAAGAAGGCCCAGGAGCCCCAGGGGAGGGGGGGCACTTCCCAGCCTACCCCAGGTACCACCCTCTGGACTGGGGCTCAGGTCACTGCTCCCAGGAGGGTCAGGGCCCACTCCTTGCCCACTGCCAGGGGCTCTGTGCAGAGCTCGCCAAGGGCCAGGCCTGACAGCCAGTGCTGCCAAGTACCTGACCAGCCCGGGGGAGCCGGCATGCCAGGTGCCACTGGGCAAGAGGGTGTCCCCTGCAGCAGCCCGCCAGAGCAGTCATGGGGACAGGCCGCTGCCAGGAGGGGCCTCTATACCCACCATCTCTCCTGGCCTGTCCTGGGTGCCCTGACCACTGACTCCTCGGGAGCACCTCCTACCCCCAAACCCTCCCCTGGCCACCCTCCACCTCTCCACAGCCTGACAGCAGGGGAGCGCCCCAGGGGCTCCTCAGGAAGAGTGTAGCTGGCCCAGCCCCTGAAAGCTGGGCTCTGCCCCCCCCTCGAGCCGTGGCGCGGGCGGGCTGTGCTGGCCGGGGCCGGACCCCCCCGGCTGTGCA